ACCCTGGCTTCCTCAAAGGTGAACATGTGATTCTTCTGGTTTACGTGGGCCTAGACCATAGACAGCTTAACCCTGTGGTTGATTGCCTGTTGATGCTCATGTAATCTTGTACCAAGACGTCTGCCCGTTTCACAAACATATCTTGCATTGCAGTCTTGGCATGGTATGCTGTAGATCACAGCTAATTGTTCTGTCAACGGCAGCGGGTCTTTGGGCCTACTGATCTGCTGTCTGATGGTTGACTCTGGCCTATGAGCCACACAGATCCCGAATGGTTTCAAGACTCTTGCAGCCGCCTCTAATACATTCTTCACATGATGAATTGCGAGCCAGAACTTAAGGTCCCCTCCTTTCGACCGCTCATGGTGGGGCTTCTTAAGACACTTGTGTACAAATGACTCTGAATAACCATTGGCTTCAGAAGTTTTTTGTACCTCGGACGGCACTTTGTTTGACCAGTTTTCATTTTGCATTTTGAAACCACACCTGACCGTTTAATTGCTACAGCCGATGAAGTAACTGTTCCATATTGTAAATAATTTCCATAATTTTTACTTTGCAAAATTCCTTTTCCTTCTAGTTAGTTCAAAAGGATGTGTAAGATAAATTCAAGTATATTTAATCTCTACAAATAACAGCTTTCCGCACACAGTTGATATCTCCTGAGAGGCGACGGTTTTTTTAGTAGAATACTCGAGAATCATAATTCCGGCAACACTGAGTAGAATAATTATTTTCCCTCAACCCGCTAAAAGGACAGATTTGAAATCAAAAAACGACCTTATGCTTACTTAGGCCACTGGTGGTCCTCGCTCCGGCGGTAGGACATTTTTTCTGTAGTCGTTTTGATAATTTCCCGGTGGAAAGTAACGCGCGACAATATAAAGTGACTTTTTATCTTTACTCCGCGCCATACCAAAGCCCACTTTCTCAGTGCCTCTCCAGACTATTTGAGTGAAGTGCCCTAAAACAGTTTAAATAAATACATGCTACTCACACTATATTAGTAGAGACATGCACGGGTTGGTAAAATTTTTGGAAGAAGGTGACGGCTAAGCTAAGCAACAATGCTTGATAAAAGATGGAGCAGTACGAAAGCGAGAAAGTTCTAATTTGCACTTGATTTGAACATAACGAGGATGACGTCGCATTGTGTGCGAATGCAAATTTGTGTTCAATGTAGTGGAAAACGTTACATGAGATAGCATTAGTGTCTTTCATCAAAAAAATTCCACCTTATTATTTAAGGCTGCATTCATTTATTTGAGTTAATTTCTACAATGCTACACATGAACATAATTTCTCTGAAAGCTTTTTAGTCTGATTTACACTTTTTTTCAGGAAAGCACCTTAAAAAATAAGTCAGACTTACCAAACCCTTGATCACCATTTTCGTTAAAATCATAATTTAGACCTTCGTTGTACCAGGCATAGGTTGCTTCTTCACCTACAGTGACAAATAAATGTGAATTATTTAATCTATTTACCATTTAACACTTTTAAAGTTCTTTTTGTGACAATTTTTCGTTGGACTGCAATTCAGTCAAATAGCTCTTTTACGCAAAAGCCGTGTGTGCATCATTCTGAACCCAATATCTT